AGGGTTGGGGGCATGAAAAATCATCATGTGGAATAGTGATACAAATCAAAACAAATATTGTAATTGATTAGTTGGTTATAATTTTTTAAAAATTCGATTACAAATCGATTATTGCTAACTAATCAATTAATCTATTATTGCTAACTAATTGATTATTGTGGTTTGCATAATTTTGTAGCCCACTATAATTATAGAATTACTTTTTAAATGATTGTAATTGCGATCACAATTGCTAAAGCTAGCCAATTTATTATAAATCTGAGTTTAACATAAACTTAGATTTATAATAAGTTGGCCAGCTTTAGCAATTAGATCACAATTACAATTATTTAATCATTAAAAAAATTACTTTTGTAATCATAAGGGTTCACAAAATTATGCAAACTACAATAATTGATTATTGCTAACTAATTGATTAATCAATTATTGCTAACTAATCGATTAATTAATTATTGCTATTGATTAATCAATTATTGCTAAATAATTGATTAATTAATTAATGCGGTTTGCAAAATTATGTGAAGTTTGGAGATCATTAAAAAAAAAGTAATCACGATTTCTGATTACTGATTTCTGATTTTTTCAACATTTTTTTGATAATTAGATTAGACAAAATTTGTGCAGTTATTATTTTGTAAAAAATTTTATTATTTTTATGGAAATAAAAATTATATATTCATTATTTTGTAATATATTTGCAAAAATAAGTGTTGCGAATTAAAATATTCAATCAAATTTTTACAAATAATAAATGTGCAAATTTCGTAATGTCTAAAAGTCAAAAAAATGTTGAAGAAATTAAAAATCAGTGATTACTTTTTTTTTTATTGATCTTTAAATTTCACATAATTTTGCAAACTGCAAAATCAATTAGTTGATAAATCAATTAATTGATTAGTTGATTAATCAATTAATTAATAGTTGATTAATTGATTAATCAATTAGTTGTTTAGTTGATCTAATTTAATAATAATACTGAATATAAATCTGATAAAAATTTTATTAAAAACTATTTAAAATAAAACCAACTAGCCAATTAATCGATTAGTCAATTAATAGTTAATCGATTAATTAGTTAGTTGGTTAATCGATTAATAGTTGGATTAAAATTGTTAATCAATTAGTTACCAACTTAACAACTAACTAATTAATTGATTTTCAATTCATATCACTAATGTAGGGCCAGGGCCAGTGATTTTCTGTGGTGACAAAATCAAAATTATAATGACAAAATTTAAATTATGTGATGTGATATGAACCATATTTGACAAATTATGTGCCTTTATTATTACTAAAATATTGATAATATATTGCTAATATTAGCATTTATTAGCATATTAATTGACAAATATATTAATAAATTATATTATTGTAATAAATATCAATAAAGTGTTTATATTTGCAAAATTTTATATTTTAATAGTATATTATCAGAACTGTTATAGGTTTAGTCGATCAAATTCATATAATATAACTAACAATAAGGTAGCTATGTGATGCTGTTATACAAACCAGTAATGTAACTTTATAAGTATGTCAGAATTGTTTATAATTGATAAAAAATAACAGATTAAATTTATAAGATCCTAGTGTATTAAATAGCACTTGATGTTATTATCTTTTTAGTAGTTAAAATAAAATTGATACTAAAGATTTTGAAATAACTCTTAAGGACAAATTTAGTAAATTTGACCAGACTAAGCTTAATTTAAGCCAAAATTTAAATAATATCTATTTCTACTATTTTGTATTGACCAAATTGAATTAAAGTGATAGCAAATATTAATGATAAGAAGTTATGCTTATGCAGTATTAAATTTTAATAAACTTTTTATAGTATAATAAATAACAAATATAAGTACTATATTATATATTAAATATCATGAACCTATTTATTTGAAATAATTAGCCTATTGTAAAAATTATGAATAAAGCTATTATCGAAATTATGAACTATCTATTGTCAAAATTACTGCCTACACATTTGCTGTTGAAATCAAAAATTAATTTATTACTAAAACTGTGAATATAAAGTATATATTACATTATTTATATTATAAATTCATATTATTGAAACTTTCAACACATCTACTAGGAGTTTTAAAATATTTTAGTTATAAAATTTGTAATTTTTATCCATTAAAAATATATTATATATCTAAATAAACTATTGTGAGCTTAATCTTTTTTAATTAAAAAGCAATAAAGGTTTACTTTATAAAATTTTAAGCAAATGAAAAAAAAATGTAAATATAGTTATAACTCTGCAATAAAGAACTTTAGAGCTATAAAACTAAGCTGCCTATAAGTAAAATTAAGTATAAAACAATTTAGACAGCCAAAGGCAGCTTACTTAATAAAATTTTGAATAAACAACAAATGTTTTCAAGAAAAATTTGGTACAAGTAATCATCAGAAAGAGTTAGTAATTTGCATTCTAATTATAGCAATAAACTTATTAATATCAAGTTTATATATTACTACTTTAATTTCTTCTACAATATTTATTGCTATACATATATTATTTTTTATTGTATACATGGATTTATAAAAAAACAGATTTAGATATAAAAATCATATAATTAATAATTAAATTCTTACAAATATTAAATCAACTATCTGTTAAAAGATATAAAGATTATGTTTTTTTAAACAAATAATTAATTACAGTATTAATATCATTATGTTTCTTTGAAAAAAAAGTATTTAAAAGAAATTGTCAAGTAGATAATTTAAAAAATAGATATTCTTTTGGAAAAAACTTTAATATTATTATTTTTAATATATTAAAAGAAATACTACTAGAATAAATTCTACATGATAATAAACTTGCTAATTCTTCTTATTTATTTTTAGCATTTTATATAAATAATTTGTTTTTTATAATTTGTATATTATTTGTAGATATTGATAATTTCTTTATATTATTTAAAAAATATATATTATAATGTTATAATATTCATAATTCATTTTTAATCTATATATTTTTATATTTTTTACATTTTCATCTTTCTTGTTCATCTTTAATTATTTTTGTATATTATTAAAGAAGATACAAATTAGAACTATTTCTTGATATTATTTATATATAAATATTGTAAGCTAAATTAAAATAATAAACTTTATAGAATATAAGTTAATTTGAAATATGACACAAACATATGTTGATCAGCTTACATTACTTACAAGTAATTTATATAAGTTACAATATAACTTACATTGGTAAAATATATGTAACTTACATTTAAGTTTTAAATTTCATGTAATGAAAAATGTAATTTTGCGTAACACAACCCTAATTTTACTATTGCACAGGCCCAAACATTAAAATTTTCTATTTTTGCAATTAAAAAAATTAAAAAATTAAATTCCGGCCAAAATTATATATAATGCAGGCCAGAATTTTGTTGATCACAGCCGTAGACCAGTCAAAATCGAGGATCAACTACGGCACCTAGGTTGAATCCCGCGCGGGATTTTTGAACTCGATCTCTATCATCAAATAGATTCATTACTAGATTTCTTCTGTGATTTGTACGATCATAGTATGCTGCTAGTTTATTCGAAAAGCATCGCACGCACGTGATATATTTTATTAATTGAAAGCATTTATCCAATAGTGACAGATATTAAATTTTACTAAATGATTCTTTATTTGAATATGCAGCATACATTGGTGCGATCGATGTACATACTGAGACGGGACATGATCCCAGGGATAACAACCATAATTGCGCCGGGTATCACCGTCATCAGCTGAATTTGTAATGTGTAGTATCAGTCGGTTCCCTATACTATATACATGTTTAAAGATACGACAAAATGGCAGGATTCTGCCTGGCTTCTAGCTGATGGTGCCAGATGTCAAACTTGTTGCATGATTATTTATTGAGATGGTATGCAGCGTACATCGGTGTGATTGACGTACAAAACTGAGACAGAATATGATCCCAGAAATATTTATTACCTTCATCAGTTGAATTTATGATGTGTAGCATCAGTAGATGGTCTCCCACACGGCATGAAGCGACTGATCTAGCGTTACCAACCTAAAAAATTTTGCTGTTAGATTAGAGTTAGGTTTTACTATTAAGTTAGATTAGAAAGAGTTTAGTAGTACCAAAATTTCGCAATGAAATACTTTATGTTAGTGCGCAGAAGGTAATTTATAGACAAAATGTTGAATTATGAGCGACTTTTTGGTTTGTTTTGATTTTTGCGTTTCTTCTGCGGCACGTATGATCTTGAAATGTGATTGCCCAGTGAAATTTTTTAGGTTGGTAATGCTAGGAAGCAGGCTAACTGACTTGAAGTTTGAATATACCATGAGGTAAACTTCTGCTTGGGTTTTTATATTCAACCCGGCAATTAGAGTTATTATTAGTAATTATCCAATAATTCCAAAATGAGCAGCTGATTGAATTATTTTTATCTGAAAACATGTGCTTCCTCATACCGATACGCTGCTGCTTGGTCTGCACGACCTAGCAGGATTGATTCTGGCGTATCCCAGCTGAGCTATCTCTCCTATCTGTTTAGGCAACGCAAAGTTTATTTTTCGTTTTGCATTACCCACCGACCCATTTTTTTCAAATTTTCGATTTTTTTTTTTTTTTTAAGCCCCAATTGTGCCAATTATTCTATTTTTGCCATTTAAATTTTTTCAAAAAATTAATCCGGTATTACCCGACAGTGACCTTATTTCCCGAAAGTATCCGATAGAACTGACAGAAAAAAAATTCGACTGCCAACCCAATTTTCTGATTCCATGTTATAAAAAGCGAAAAATAACCTTTTACGACCTTAGATGTGAACATGAGCCCATTAATTCACTGTAGATTAAAAAAAAAAAAATCCGACCGACCGACCGGGAATTTTGAAATCCATGTAATGCAAAACGAAAAATTAACTTTGCGTGGCCTTAGGAAGTAGGATTCTGCAAGTTACAAGTACCGAGTATGGTACTATTAAAACATAATGCCGAGCACGGGTTCTATGTTTTAATAGTACGCGCCAGGCTTGGCCCTATTAGGAATAATACCGATACCTTGACTGTATTCAGATATCAAAGCATCGAGGCTATTTTCAAAATTATCAGATGGTCTGTTGATGCAGTTTGGTATATTTCCTCCCTGTGACAAGTAAATTGATTTTAAACAGTTATAAGCAATAAATTCTTAAAACCATTTCAAATATTTTTTTACCTGATAATCATCATCTCGAACATCAACAACCAAATAATCTTTTCCCGGAATCTTGGTTTTATCCTTAATTATGTCTCGTAATTCTTCAGCTTGGATATATGATGGTTTCGGCATTTTGTTCTTTTCAAAAAAAAAAGGGTTTACAAGAGAATAATTAATAATAAGAAATGTAATCCTTAAATCCTTGTTTTTTAACGATCGTGAAAAAAGTTGAATCATTGGTCGAAAATTGTTACATTATAGATAAGAAATATATGGAATATTTTAATTCTGATTGGTCCATAATCTGGTTTAGAACAATTTTGTTCAAAAACTGGTTTGAAGCTGGTTTAGACCATTTGAATTGCTTTATTAAGTATAACACAAAAGTTTAACAAGCGCCAGATCTAAAAAAAATATAAACAAAAGAGCAAGTATGCATACAACACGTAGTTATCACTATGGCCTTATTAGTGTGCTAACCTTTAAATAGAGAGTGCTTTCTCGCAATGGGGTAAGTTATTAAAATTATTGATCTCGAAATAGGCATGTACGTACGTACGTAGGTTACGTAACATACCACTACGAAGTGATATCAAAACCAACTAGTTAACAACTGGTTGCCAATCAAATTGATACAATACCGGACAGCAAAAGATATCAATTATGATTGGTTAATTTGTATATATCCAATTCTAATTAGTCATTATATAAACTATATATACAGTCTAACCTCGATATATAATCACCTTAGAATCCAGAAATTGGATGATTATAATACGACAGGGTGAAACCTGCGTTGCATGCTAGTAAAATCCGCGTTTGATTGGTTATTTTATGTAAAATCTAAATATGAGTGTTGCTAAGGAAAAAGACACTATGGAGTTTCAATTATAGTTTGTACTGGACACTAGGGTGATTATCAAACTAATAAAATCAATCATAGTCAGGGTCACATATAAATTTATTATGTATGGATTTTTTTGCCGGTTTGTTAATAATTTCAGAAATTTTGGAAATTTAACTTTTACAAATTATTTTCTTTATTTAGTAAACAACTTTTTTTTTATTTATTGAACAAACTATAAAACAAATTGTCAGTTTCTACTATAACCAACTCCCAAAACGGTTATCTCCCGCTTTTCTCCAAGGGTTTTTTTTGGTAAAAATTTCGTCAAAAAGTGGGCGATTTGGCTTACCCCCTCCTAAAGATCGACACGTCCCATTCCACAACAGTCGGCATTGTTTACTTTCCTAAAATAGATTGTCCTGTGGTACAAGGACCAGTTTTGACGAAGACG